CCCGAAGCCACCCGATATACGGCAGAAATCAGCCGTACCAGCCTGAAGTGAACAGAGGAACACCGTTCGACTCACTTTACTTCGGGTCAGTTATTCACTCGACTGCCTACGGCAGCTGCGTGAATAACCCCCAAAATAATTTAATAATAATAATTAAAAAAAAAAACATTTCCAGTTTTTTCTTTATTGGCGTCTCCGATAATATTTCTAGATTGATAAACTTCTAAATCATCAACGTCCTTTTTTGACACCATAAAACTTTATCGAGATCCCGGAGCGCACGTGCGTGATTTTGCACAGGGAAGGCAAACAAAACGAGTTACCATCCGATGATATCCAGTCGTGTCATTCATGTTAATTCCAGAATTCGCCACGGAGCCGCGCCGCCATTTATCACGGAGGGAAGCGATCATTATCACACCGCATAGAAATGTAATTTAAATGACAGACGCTCATTCAAGACCTCTTCTTAGTTCATTGAGCTATAAAAATGACGGCGGGTAAAGCGGTTCCTAATAGCTGCGGCCTCTCCGCCGCCCATTATAAAGTCAGGAGCTGGGAGTGAGTGGCGGACATCATAACCTCCAACACTGCCACTAGACCCGGGAGTGACGGCTTTTATTATAGTTCACGTCAACCATCGGGCTCTCCTTCTCCACCCTTTGTTTTCCTTCCAGGCTCATGAACTTGAAGTTTTAACGGTTTCATTATTTCGATACTGTAATAAATGGTTCCCCATGAAAAAAAAAAGAGAATGGACACAACAATGTTCCCTATAGTGACCTGTCACAATGTTTGCTTAAAGGAGAAGTATGAGGTGGGTGCTTTTCACTCCCCTCATAGTTCTAGCCGACCTGTGACAATGAGACTGTCACAGGTCGGCTCAGTAGATCGGGAGGTGAGAGAACACATACCGGCGTTCGCTCACCTCTCGATCCTGTCACGGCTCCCTGCCGTGACAGGGGAGGGGCTGGATTCCCCCCTCCCCGCTCCGATCCTCCAGCGCTGACTGGCGGAACGGACGGGGGAGGGGGCGGGTACAGCTGGCTCTGCCTCTAGATAGGCAGAGCCAGCTGTCAGTCACGCAGCTGGGCGGATCCCGGCACAATTGTCGGGATCCGCTTCAGCTGCGGCGTCTCAGTATATAGAGAGCTACAGCACGCGGTATACTGAGCCTAGTGTGACGGGAGGATGCTAGTTTGTGTCCTCCCGTTACCCTAAGGAGAACTATGGGGAAAACACTTAACCCCATAGTTCTCCTTTAACCCCTGCATGACTGAGGCCTTTTTTTTTTCCATTTTTTGAACCCATGTTATATTCCGCATTTTAGGCCTGAGAATTACTGAAAAACCCCCCTAAACATGATATATTTTCTGAAAGCCGAGACCCTGTAGAATAAAATGGCGGCAAATTTTTATGTTGCACGATATTAGCGCAACTCCTTATCAAACCCCAAAATTTAGTGAAAAATGTACTTAAGTGCCCCGAAACACAATATAATACAGATTTATTTAATAAAATATAAAAGACGAGGTTACAACGAGTAAATAGATACCCAACATGCCCAGGTTGAAAATTGTGTGCGTCCGTGAAACGGCGACAAAATTCAGTACCCCAAAAAGTCCATAGACGACGCTTTAAAAGCCCCCCGCGGGTCATCAGTTTAGTGATACCCAGAAATACTGACCCTAGAATTATTGCTCTCACTCCGGCGTGCGCGGCGATACCCAACATGTGTATCGCGTTCGTCGTTTTCATAGGTATGCGCACCCGACACAAAAAATAAACAAATAATGAAGACCCCCACCCCCGCGAGCAATACTAGTATCGGTATCGGTGCTGACACAGAGTATTTAGGCAAGTACTCGTACTCGCCCAAATGCTCCCAATGCTTATCCCGATATGAGTACTTCCGGGTATCAGGAAGCCGGGGGGCGAGCCATTACACGCCGCCGGCTTTCTGATTGGCTGGGAAGCCGGCTCCATGCTCTCTCGTCACTAGGTAATGAGGAAGCATGGAGCCGGCTTTCCGGGCCAATCAAGAAGCTGGGCGGCGTGTAATAACTCACCGCCCGACTTCCTGATTGGTTGGGAAGCTGGCATATCAGGAAGCCAGACGGCGAGTTATTACCCGCCTCCCCGCTTCCATGATTGGCCAGAAAGCCAGCTCCATGCTTCCTCATTACCTAGTGACGAGAGAGCATGTAGCGGGGAGGCGGTTAATGACTGGGACTTTCTTCCCAATAAAGCAATACTGCTGACTTACTCCTAAGAGTACACACACACTATACTGTGTGCGTATATATATATATTTACACTATATTACCAAAAGTATTGGGCCCCTCCCCCAATGAATCCTACGGACTAAGACTGGGATGCCATTAAACTTCATGTGCGTGTAAAGGCGTCCCAATACTTTTGGCAATATAGTGTATATAAAGTTTGTGAAGGTTTTCATTCATCTTGGTCACGGCTAGTAGTAGTCTGGACACATTCAACTGGACTTGTTATGTAATGTTGAAGTCTTTTTGCCACTTATCTCAATGGCTCCCTTAGCCCTAGTCGTGTGTCAGGAATGTTCCTCAGCATTTATAGCCTCACAGGTAGCACTGTCACATTCATTTAGTCATCATGGAATGTGTCAAGGAAGATGTTGATTGTCCAAGAACATGATGGGAGTGGTGAAAGCTTGCCGAACCCCCTAGTTCTCATTACACAACCAGGTCAGGACTCAGTAGTCTTCTTTCACCTCAAGGAGCATGGACATTCTTCCGAGGCCAGTGAGATGTCCAATTTAGATGAAGAGGACAAAAAGCTTCTTAGAAAGAGGCCATCTACGTAACCGGTCCAAAAAGAAAGTCACCACCTGGATTCAGATAAGCACATAGGTCAGAGCCTTCCATTGGATAAGTGTTATGATCTGGGGTTGCTTGAGTTGGTCAGGTCTAGCGTCAACAATGTAATGTCCCCAAAAATTAGGTCAGCTGCCGACCTGAATATACTAAATGACCAGGTTTTACCATCAATGGATTTTCCTTTCCTGATGGCACATTGGTCATATTCCAAGATGACAAGGCCAGGACTCATCGGGCTCAGATTGTGAAAGAGTGGTTCAGGGAGCATGAGACATCATCTTCACACATGGATTGGCCAGCACAGAGTCCAGACCTGAACCCCATTGAGAATCTTTGGGATGTGCTGGAGAAGGCTTTACACAGAGCTCCGACTCTCCCACCATCACTACAAGATCTTGGTGAAAAAAGAATGCAACTCTGGACGGAAATAAATGTTGTGACGTTGTATAATCTTATTGAAATGATGCCACAGCCAATGTGTGCCGTAATCAAAGCTAATGGCGGTCCAAGGAAATTTTAGAGTGTGTGACTTTTTTTTTTTTTTTGGCCAGGCAGTGTATATCAAACTGGAACCACCGTGCCTAAACAGGGTCAGGGCCTTCAACACCATCCGTCACCCAAATATAATACCAACTTATAACATCTTTAACCTTGGCAACAATTCAAAGCTCAGTCAATTCAACTCGAACAATTAACACCTGTCCCAAGATACCATGGATTTTGGAATAGGTCATTAAAAGTGGCATAACACATTCACCGGTGAAGAACAAATTCAGTTGAATATGACTAATGAATAAATATATATTAGAAAGAGAGAGAGAGAGAGATGGGGGTAGATAGATATGAGAGAGAGAGATGAGAGAAGAGATAGATAGAAAAGAGAGAGAGAAAGAGAGAGAGAGGAATATATATATACAGTATATATATTAGAGAGAGAAAGAGAAAGTGGGACAGGGGCCAGGGGGAGAGAGAGAGAGAGATGGAGAGAGAAGGAGAGAGAGAGAAGGAAAGAGAGAGAAGGAGAGAGATACAGTGTAGCTAATATATATATATATTAGAGAGAGAGAGAGAGAGAGAGAGAGAGATACATTGTATACATTATATATACTGTATATTAGAGAGAGAGAAAGAGAAAGTGGGAAAGAGAGGGGGGAGAGAGAGAGAGAGAGAGAGAGGGGAAAGTGAGAAAGAAAGGGAGAGAGAGATGGGGTGGGGAAAGGGACACATTGTGGTTATTTGAGATATATATATTAGAGAGAGAAAGAGAAAGTGGGACAGGGAGAGAAAGAGAGGGAGAAGGAGAGAGAGAGAGAGAGAAGGAGAGAGAGAGAGAAGGATAGAGATAGATATATTGTGGCTATTTGATATACCGGTATATATATTAGAGAGAGAAAGAAAAAGCAGGACAGGGGGAGAGAGAGAGATGGAGAGAGACGGAGAGAGAAGCATTGTAGCTAATATATATATTAGAGAGAGGGAGAGAAAGAGGGAGATGGAGGGAGAGAGAGATACATTGTAAAGGTGGGGGGGGGAGAGAGAGAGAGAAAATGAAAGAGGGAGACAGAGAGAGAGAGAGAGAGAGAGAGAGAGAGAGAGAGAGAGAGAGAGAGAGATGGAGACAGAGAGACAGAGAAGAGAGAGATACATTGTTGCTATTTGATACATATATTAGAGGGAGAGAGAAAGAGAAAGCGGGAAAGAGAGGGAGGAAGAGAGAGAGAGAGATGGAGGGAGTGGGAGAGATACATTGTGGCTAAATGATTTATATTATACAATAATGTCATTGGATTTAAAAAAACGATTTATTTATTTTATTCTTAATTTACACCTCCTTGTTCAGCATTTCTTAATATCCACAACATTATTGCATGTTTATTCTGGTTTATATATATATTAATTATCTTCTATATAAATATTGACATAAGAAATGTAGAATTCAGGAGACCAGAAATGTATGGGTATGGTTAGGAAAACATGCTATGTCCTTTATCTTCCACCTTAATCCTCTCTACGTAGCGCAATGGCCTCAAGCGCGAGCTTATTATTAAATGCAATATATTTCTCACAAGCGGTGGAAGTTGTATCAAGCGACTTCTGGATTACACTGTCGTCTATTACACGAGAATTCCCCTGCAAACCCCTTTTCAGAAACAGATTTGATATTGATACATAATATATTGTAATGTGTTTATTTCTTTTTATATAAAAGCCACCCAACCCACCAAATAAAACATTCTTAAGACAAAAAAAAATTACACAATAGCTTTTGTTTAAAAATATGACAATATCTAAAACTACTACTGTACACTTCATATTTTTTTCATGGTTCCGGTCAACATTGGCGCCCATTCTTCTCGCCTGCCTCGCGAGCCGATGATGCCGTAAGCACACTTAGCTGTGTCAAAAGTCTTTGGTGCTGTTGGGGCATAAAAAAAAATGATTGGCAGCTCCTTCAAGCGATGGCGTACTTAAGACATTGTGGTATTTCCGTAAGACACTTTGTTGTTTTTTGCTTTTTTAGGGTTGAGCTATGTGATAGGAGCGTGTGGGCTGGCTGTTGTTCTGCGCTGCCACAGTCAGTCTCTGTGCCTCTTCTTGCATGTTGTTGCCACGGGGTGATATTAAGTCATTACGCTCTCTTCCTTCTTCCTTCAAGATTTCTGAAGCTCACGGGTCTGAGCTTCATTTCTGCAAACTGGATGGAGTATTCGTGACCCTTCCAATGGAACCAGTTGATGCCCTGCGAGTAGAACAAGGCAAGATTAATTGATGAAGAAGGTCCTGACATTACCTAAGGTCCTAACCTGGGCCCAACCAGACCTATCCTAACCCACCTTCACCCTTCACAGTTGCATACTTGTCCTAACCTAACCTGGGCCCAACCAGACCTATCCTAACCCTCCTTCCTCCTTCACAGTTGCATACTTGTCCTAACCTAACCTGGGCCCAACCAGACCTATCCTAACCCACCTTCACCCTTCACAGTTGCATACTTGTCCTAACCTAACCTGGGCCCAACCAGACCTATCCTAACCCACTTTCACCCTTCACAGTTGCATACTTGTCCTAACCTAACCTGGGCCCAACCAGACCTATCCTAACCCACCTTCCCCCTTCACAGTTACATATTTGTCTTAGCCCGATGGCAGAAGCCTCCAGTGCTTATTTAAATCCTGGCTTTGCCTGTGCATTACAGCCCTACAGACTTCCCTGTGACCCCCTTCCCTTCATCTCCAGGCTTGGTACACAGCCCCATAGAAGTCTATGCTATGATATGCAAGTGCGTCCAGGAAGTAAACAAACACCGGGGGCTTTTGGATCAAGGTAAGTAAGCATTCATGGAGCAGTTGGGTGAGTTAGGCTAGGTTAGGGCAAAGGGCCATCAAAGGCTTCAATTTTGTGCCCTATTGGGAAGATTTCCCTTTACTTGCTGTTCTGTAAACCCAACAGGAAATAAAAGGAAATATCTCCAATTGGTGTCCCAAAATTTCCCATCTTTATCTGTCCTGGGAACAGCTCCCCATTTTGGATTTTCCTTTACTTTCAGTTCTGGTGTCAATGGTCCATCTCCACCAGTTGGTACACGGAAAGCAATTCAATCTCGTAAGACCCCTCAGCACTGCTAATAAACATAGAAACACATCCCCTTGCTCTGAACTATACCGCTATTTTATTTTCCCAAGATCTCTTTTGCAGTATGTTTGGCATGGTGTCTCATTGCATAAGCCCTCTAGGCTCCTTAATTAACATTAAAGGAGCTTGCGTGCCCCATGAAGGGCTGGTAATGTAGGCAGCTATGTAGGCAGTAACAAATGGTGGATACCACTAGCATCTACTCTCCATGGGACACCTCAATGTTAACACCGTGAGCCATTCACAAAATGCAGGCCATGATGGGTAGTTGCGGTGTCCCACAGAGTGTACTCTAGTACTATGCTTGTCAAAGTGGCAGCAGGGACAAGGAGCTCCGGCATCTCATTTCTCAGAACCAACCATGGATCGAGGAGACCACTGACTGATGTTCTTACCCTGAGACACCTGTCTCCATAGAAGACTTCTGCTCTATTTGTAATGTGAGCATAAAAATTTGGATTGTGTTCATTAAAAAAAATGTCATCACAGTATGCTGGTGCCCTTATGATGTCAAGTATGTTATTTCGGAAGGTCCCTGTTCTAAGAAACGATTGACTTACCTGACTGTGGCTGTTGTCATTATATCTGCCCATAAGGTTCACTCTGTGACAGTTCTTATACCAGAAGGCTCCTTTGTAGGACAGGGCGCAGTTGGTAATGGCAGAATCATTGTCCTTGTCATATGTGGAAAATGAGCGTCCGTCGTGATAGGTCATCGAATCTCCTGCAGGGGCAGAAAATAAGGATAGTTAGTAGGGATTGACCACGGCAACATATGAAAGTGATGTCACTGCTGTCCCCATAGTAAGTCCTTGGAAACAGAAATATAAATTGGTTAGATGCTCTCTACGGGAGTGCAGGTGGAAAGGTATTTGCCCTGAAACAATTCTGGCCCTCAGATTATAGCGTTGGGCTGCATTATGTAGATGTAGGCTAGTGGTGGAGTAGGGAGGAGGAACATTTAGCTGAGGCCATTGATGGTTTCCAGGATAATTAAAGTGTGTGACAAAGCAAAAATAAAAACCTATGCACTATATCTTTGCAATAGAGGCTCATTTCTCTTGTATATGTTGTATTCTTGGACAATGATAATAAAGGCATTCTATTCCATTCCATTCTATTATTTTCTATTCTATTCTATCCTATCCTATTGTATTCTACTTCAATTCCATTCCATCCTATCATATTCTATTCTATTCATTCCATTCCATTCTATCCTATCATATTCTATTCCATTCCATTCCATCCTATTATTTTCTATTCTATCATATTCTATTTTCTACTCCATTCTATTCTATTCCATTCTATTCTTTTTATTCCATTCCATTTCATTCCATCCTATCCTATTCCATTCTACACATTTCTGTTCTATCCTAATCTTTCCCATTCTATTCTATTCCATTCTATTATATTCTTTTCCATTCTATTTTATTCTATTCTATTCCACTCCATTCTGTTCCATTCTATTCTTTATCCCTCTGAAAACACTGCAACTACAGAAAACCCCCTCCTGATCAGGGGGGAGAGGGATA